AAAAAAAAAAAAGAATTATATTTGAAGGACTAGATAAATCAAGTTTTCATCATTTAAGCACAGCCCTGTGATGAGAAAACAGGTGTGATTTTTTTCCCCCTCTATATTTTGAGGTCCCTGATTCAAAGGTCATTTTGATTATTAATAATCAGTATTTTAGGGGCCAGGGAGATGATCCGGTAGAATAAGCACTTGCCTGGCAAGCGCAAGGACCACAAAACAAAACAAAACATTATTTTAGTATTAACTGTATCCTCTAGGCTAACCTTGAAATCTTTTTTTTTTTTTTGCGGAACTGGGGATTGAACTCAGGCCCTTGCGCTTGCCAGGGAAGCGCTTATTCCACTGAGCCATCTCCCCAGGACCTTTTTATTTATTTATTTATTTATTTTTTTTTTTTGAAATCTCTTTTGATCTTTCCTGTCTCATACTTCTGAATGCTAGGATTATAGGTGTGGGTCACCAAAATGGAATATAATAGAAGATTATCTTTTGAGTAGGAGTAATTCTTACTCTTTGGACAACAAATCCTTTTTGTTTTGTTTTAAATTTGTTATGTATTGGGTACAGGGTCTCACTACGCAGCTTGGACTCGCAGTGATCCTCCTGTTTTCAGCCTTCCTCGCACTGGGATTATAGGCGTGCACCACCACGCCAGGTCTTGATGGCCAGCTCAGTGCACCTGGGGACAGGACTGGCATGACATGTGCTGGGGATCAAACCCCAGTCCCTGCACTTGCCTAAGCAGGTGCTTAGTCCACTGAGCTATCTCATAGGCCCTTTTTATTTTCTTAATTGATGTCAAATTTAAAAGTTATACCCCATTTTTACTTATATTTTTTGGTTTGTTTGGGGGCATTCCTCAGTTGTTTTGTTTTTTTTTTTTTCTGTGTTGGGTATGGTAACTTTAATCCAGTCCTATAATCCAACCACTCAGGAGGCTGATGCAGGAGAATCTCAAGCCAAAGGGCTACCTGGAGAACCCTGTCTTTTACTGTTTTTTATTTTATTTTTATGTATTCAGTTCATGGTCTCTCTATGCAGCTTGGACTCCTGTTTTCAACCTCCCCAGTTCTGGGATTACAGGGGTACACCACCATGCCTGGACTCGGTGGCTCATTGCACCCTGGAGGCGGGCCATCATGGCATGTGGGACCGGGGATCAAACCCTGGTCGTTGGGCTTGGCAAAGCAGGCGCTTAGTCTGCTGAGCTATCTTGCTGCCCCCCCCCTTTTTTTTTTTGAGAGAGGATTTCAATTGCAGTTCAGGCTGGCCTTATACTCACTTTGTATCCCAGGCTGACCTTGAACTTGTAATGATCATCCTACCTCAGCCTCCCAAGTGCTGGGATTACAGGCATGCACTGCCACACTTGGTGGGACCTTGTCATCAATACAAAAATACAAAGGGCTGGGGATGTTGCTCGGTGGCAAAGCACTTGCCTAGCATGTGTAACATGCCCTGCGTTTATTCCCTAGTGCTGGGGTGATGGTGGTGGTGGCATTGTTGGCAATGATGGCAACTGGGGGGTAGTAAAGTTACCTCAAAGTGATGTTATACATATGGGGACATATGTATATGCTCTGAGATTTTAACCTCAGAGCATCGATTTTCTGCAGGGAAAAAATTTTATTTCTGTTAGTTTTTAATGAATATTAAATGTTAAAATTATTACCTCTTTGGACTATTACTTGAAGTTTTAATAAATTATTGTTTATTGATAGATTGTATTGTGTCATATATTATTATATATATATATTTTTTTAATTTATTTATTTATTTGTGTGTGTGTGTGTGTGTGTGTGGTGAGCTCAGCCCACTAGGGGGCGGGGCTGGCTGGCATGTGGTGCTGGGGGATTGAAAAGTGGTCTCTGTGCTTTGTTAAGCTTGTTCTAAGTAGGTGCCTTAGACCACTGAGCCATCTCACCAGCCCTGTGTCATATATTATTAATGCTAATGAAGTTCAGGGTTATCCAACATTTTTTTCTAGTATTGATAATCTAAAACTGAAGTGAGAGAGTATTGGTGTTATAGAGAGATTTATTAGGAAACACAAGATCAGCTTGAATGTGGAGAAATTTTAGATCAGACAGCCCCGACAGGAAATGTTGCGATTACAGGGGCTATTACTGTTAGGTATCATGAGAAAGCAAAAAGAAATAAGAGGAAAAAAAGAAAAAAGAAAAAGAAAAAAATTAAAAAAAAAAAAAAAAGATTTTCATTCCTGGGACCAAAATGAATAGAAAGCTCTTTGGTTTAATCACATTCCATTCCTTACACACAGTTTGTATGGCCAAGAAATAAACACCATAGGGCTGGTGAGATGGCTCAGTGGTCTAAAGCACCTACTTAGAACAAGCTTAGCAAAGCACAGGGACTGCGGTTCAATCCCCCAGCACCACATGCCAGCCAGCCCCACCCCCTGGTGGGCTGAGCTGGCCACACACAAAAATAAAGAAAATAAATAAATTAAAAATAATTAAAAAAAAATAAACACCATAGAAGAGTGGAAAGGAGTGCCATGGTTGCCGTCATCACTATGAGATTCTAGCTATTTAGTTATTTGAAAGAGGAAGCATCTTCTACTCAGATGGCGTGTGCACGGGTGGCTGGGCTGAGATGAGGCTATACACGGCCCAGGTCCTCTGCGTGCAAGCTGAGCTCCGCAAGAGGCCTGAGGATGAGGTGGTTCTGATTGACAGCAATACTGGGCTCTCGCTTGGTGCAGCCCCAGACCAGAAGTACCATTGGCCTCGGCAAGGCTTTCTTTTTAAAGCTGGGAAGCCAGAGTCAGAAGACAGTGTGCTGCTATTCCAGTGGCCCTATTCCTGAATTAGTTTGAAACTAAGGGAGAACTGGGATCTCTGACCTTAACCCACTTCACCTACTCCTGCTTGCTTTTAGCTGACAGTAAAAGTCAACAGTTTTACAGAGACTTCTGAGGTGTGTCAGGATGGTGGCAGCTCAAGTTTGATCACACAGACTCTAACCTTCACTGACTTTGCTCTCTAGAATGAGGAAGCCCATCCTCAGACCCTGTCCTCTCCCTGTCCTCCACACTTGGCTGCCTCCTAAACGCGATCTCCTTGCCAATCTCCTTTTAGCCACCTGGCTTGGGCCCAAGCTCAGCATTCTGAGTCCTCTGTTTCTAAAGCTGTGTCCTTTTTTGTGGATTGTGACTGGTTCCTGCCAACACTTTTGTGGATTTTTAGAGACAAGGTCTTGCTGTGTAGTTCAGACTGCCTTTGAACCCAGCTTGGCCTCCAACTTGCTTTAATCCTCCTGCTTCAGCCTCCCAGGTGTTGGGAGCACAGGTGTACACCTCCATGCCTTGTACCACCGGTGGTGTACCAAGCTTGCACTCCACCTGCGGCAGGTCCTAAGCTTTGCCTTAGCATCACTTCTATTGACCTTGTCCCCAGATTATTATTATTATTATTACTATTTTTTTGCAGAACCTGGGCTTGAACTCAGGCCCTCTCACTTGCCAGGGAAGCACTTATTCCACTGAGCCACTTCCCCACCCCCCCCCAGATTTCTTTTTCTTTTTTTTTTTTTTTATTTATTAGAGAGAGAGAGAGAGTGTGGTGTGTGTGTGTGGCCAGCTCAGCCCACCAGGGGGCGGGGCTGGCTGGCATGTGGTGCTGGGGGATTGAACCGCGGTCCCCGATGCTTTGCCAAGCTTGTTCTAAGTAGGTGCTTTAGACCACTGAGCCATCTCTCCAGCCCCCCCCCCCAGATTTCTTAAGTGGATTTTTTTTTTTTAACCCTTGTGTGGAGGGTTGATTTTCAATAGATCGAAGTGAGGGAGCTGTGCCCAGTTCAGTGGAGTGTTTTTATTTTAATTTGGTACAGGGTCTGGCTACGCAGCTGGGATTCCTAGGGATCTCCTGTCTCAGCCTCCCTGATGCTGGGATTACAGGCATGAGCCGCCATTCCCAGCATGCAGTACTGGGGATCAAACCTATGTCCAAGTCCTTGCACTTGCCAGGCAGGTGCTTAGACCACCAAGCTATCTCCCCAGCCCCAGTTGATTTTTATCTTACTTTCTGGTGTCTTCTCTGTCACCCTTGCACAGTGTATCAAAGCTTGGAGAGTCATCATACTGAAATTCTTTTATAATCTTGTAACACCACCCTTAGTTTGGCATGTCATAGTCTAGACTGGTGTTTGAAAAAGAAAAATTAACTGGGTGTGGTGCTACCCACCTGCAATTCCAGGGTCTCATCACACAGATCAGATTTTAAATAATCCTATTTTCTGCCTCCCAAGCGCTGGGATTACAGGGGCGTGCCACCGTGTCCAGTCTTAATCACTATCCGTGTGCCCAGGGGCTGGGGCTGGTACAGCATGCGGGGAATCTAAGGGTTCCCTGCATTTGCCTAAGCAGGGGCTTTAATCCCCTGAGCTGTCTGGCTGGCCCAAGATTACAGATTTGACAGAAGGATTTTTTTTTTTGGGGGGGGGGCTGGCTCAAAATGCCTTCAGGGCATGTTTGGCTGGCTGGAGTTGTGGGGATCGAACCACAGCAACCTGAGGCTGACTCCTTTGTTGAAGCAGCCACTTAAACAACTGAGCTAAGGGGCAGGGCCCCAAGATTACAGATTTGAGCCCAGCTTGGGCAATTTAACAATTTAATTTCAGGAAAAAAAAAAACCCAAACAGTAGTTTAGAGTGAAGGCCCTGTGTATGAATCGGGCTCATCAATGCCACATACACACAAAGCTTACAGGTCCCAAACAAATAGGGAAACACATCGCCCCAATTTCAGTAGCTGTGGTCTTAGTTATTACCCAGATTTGACTGAGTGACAGCTTTTACTCTTCCCAATTTGGTAGGATTTCAGCTTGGTCACCTCTGGCGGTGAGCTTTGTACTCCCTGCCAACATCTTTCCCTCTTAAGAACCGGGATTGGAGCTGTCTTCAGTGTCCGAGGGTTTCTAGCCGCCGCTGGAGGCGTCAGGTTCTCCGCATTCCTCTGGTCTCCCGTGAGCTGATGATGAAAAATGAAAGGCGTAGATGCCCAGGAGCTTCTAGTCCCGGAAAGCAGGCGGCGCGACGCGCGGACCGCCTCCGCGCGCCCCGGCGTCGGTCCTCAGTGCGCCCGCCTCCTGCCCCGGAGAGTCCTGGCGAAGCCTCTCGCGGCCGCCGTCCTCCCGCCGCCGGGGGCGCTGTGGGCCGCGGAGGGCCTGCGCGGACGCCGTGCGGGCCGCCGCTCGCCTACCGGGAGTGGGTGGCCGGGCCCGGCGAGCCCCCACTCGAGAGGACGTTGCCGCCATGGGTAAGGCCGGGCCGGGGCCGCGCTTCGTTCTGCGTCAGCTCAAAGGCTGCCGCCGGCCGACCGGAGCGGGGCTGAGCCGGGTGGGCGGGGGCCGCGCGGATGGGGCTCGGGGTCGTCATGGCAACGCGGCCCCACCTCACCTCCCCCACCCGCGTCCCGCGGCTTCCAGGAGCGACCAGGGGGACGGTTGGGGTGTCGCTCCAGGGTGTGGAGGACAATTCCGGATGAGCAATGACTTCTCATGGGTGGGGGTGGCGGAGGGAGGACCCTGCTCAGGGCTTGGTAGGGGTGCCCAGCGCCGAGAGCGAGAGAGGGGCGGCGGTGCCGTGCACGACCCTGGGTGAGCCTGCGCGCGGGTGCCTGGACCCCGAGGCCTTGCAGCCTCGGTCGGGGGAGGCGAGGACGGTCCCAGCCTTGCTGGGTGCGGCCGCATCAGTGCTGGCCCGGTCGGGCGTGGCCGAGGGCGGGTGCCCAGCCGGACCTAGAGGCCGACGCGGCCGGCGAGTCCCCCTTGCGCTGGGCGCATCCACCTCCGTCCAGATCGTGATGGGCACGGTAAACATTATGACACATCAGGTGGCTTTCCGCCTGGAGAAAGCGTTTACCACCTCGGGTTGGAAGTGTGATGATTTGTGGATGTGCGCTAGCGGGCAGCACGGTCGGAGCCGTTGCCGGGAGCTCAGAGTCGGGCTTCACAGCTAGCTGGCTGAGATCCGAAGTGGAATACTAGGTCGTGGGGAATTCTGGATGTTTATTCAGGGAAGGAAAAAAGGGTACTTTGGGGGGAACTACCTGCTCGGGGCCCCCTCCGGTCCCTGTCTTGGACAGAGGCTTTCTTTCTCTCAATAAATATATTCTGCTCATTTAAAAAAAAGGGGGGGTACTTTGATTACTTGCACTTGTGCGTTTGTCAGAGATGAGATATTCTAAGGGCCTCATTTTTCTGCATCTCAGTTTTGCCATCTGTGTTTGCTGAAAATATTCCTGCCAGTCACAACAGTGGTGAGAGCGTGAGGAAGCATCAGAATTTCTAGAAGGAAAAATATATGGGGAAGAAAATAATGTTTTTGTGAACTTAAAATGTCAGCTGGAAATCTAGCCTGGCATGGTGGCATAGGCCTGTAGTCCTGTCATCCCAGCCTCTCTGGAAGGCTGAGACAGGAGGATTGCAAATTTAAGTCAAGCCTGGGCAATTTAACAAAAACTATGCCTCAAAAAAGGTCTGGGGATGTAGCTCATTGCAAGGCCTTGGTACCCCACCCAAGGGGTCAGGACTTTAAATGTATCTGTACCTAATACTGGAACAGTGGCATCCTCAGCTATGTGCAAGGGCCCAGGACTACGTCGTCTTCTTCTTTTTTTTTTTTTTTCTGAACCAGGGATTGAACTCAGGCCCTTATGCTTGCCAAGGAAGCGCTTATTCCACTGAGCCATCTCCCTGGCCCTGGGCCCAGGACTTCTTTAAGCAGTCATATAGTACAAAGCCACATCTGGAAAAAAAAGAGACAGAGAGTTGAAGTGGATGAACGGGTCTGGCATCTCCTCTTGTATCTCCATATTGGTCATATTGTTGTACCTGTCATGTTTGTTATGGTTGATACTGGCATCTTCAAACTTTAACCACCTTTGTAAAAATTATCAGTTTATTCTGAACTTTTTTTGAGGTTCATCCTTAGATCATACCTCCTAGCCATTTACATGAGATCCCTAAATGTGAGGTCACAAAAGGTATTAGACTATGGCACAGTTGCAGAATCCTGAGACTCATCCATAAAACAACTGGACCACTTTACATTCCACCAGCAATGGAGAAGGGCTTATTTTTTGCTAGGCCCTGTCAGCATTTGTTAGTGGTTGACTTCTTGATGGTAGCCATTCTTTCTGGGGTGAGGTGGAATCTCAGTGTTGCTTTAATTTGCAGCTCTCAAATGACCTATGATATTGAACACTTTTCATATATTTATTTGCCATTTGTATTTTTTCATCTGAGAATGTGTGTGTGTGTGTGTGTGTGTGTGTGTGTGTGTGTGTGTTTATCTCAAATACCCAGTTTTGGATTGGGTTTTACATGGGGGGTGTCTTTTTTAAAAAATTCTTTATATATTCTAGGTATAAGTCCTTTGTCTGAAGGACAACTGGCTAAAATATTTTTTCCCACTCTGTGGATTATCTTTTCACCCTGTTGGTAACTTCTTTTGCTGTGCATGAGATTTTTAATAGGATGAGATCTCAGCTGTTGATTCTTTGTATTATTTCCATGTGATTGGGATTTTGTTCCTGAGATCTGTGCCTATACCTCTGAGGGGCTATGGGAATAAAGAAACCCTTCTCCACTGTTGGAGTGTAGACTGGTGCAGCCACTGTGGAGATTCCTCGAAAAACTAGCTTTAGAGGTCTCATTTGACCTAGCTGTTCTGCTGGGTATTTTCCTAGAAGAATTAAAAACATACCCAGTGATATATGTACACCCATGTTTATAGCAGCACAATTTGTGGTAACTATTTTTTGGAAACAACCCAAATGCCTATCAACTGAAGTATGGATAAAAAAGATGTGGGTTGTTTGTTTGTTTTGTAATACAATGGAGGACTACTCAAACATAAAGAAGAATAAACTTGAGACATTTCTAGGTAAATGGATGCTGCTTGAGGCCATACTTATAAGTGAAATAAAGTGGGCTCATATGGGTAAATACCACGTTGTCTCCCTAGTGTAAGAAACTGAAAGAGTAAATAAGGTCGAAAAGGTAGTATATATATATATAT